GGTTTTGATTTTAGTGTGCAGTACAAAAGAGGAAGGGAAAATATCGTTACTGATGCTTTATCATGGTGTCATGAAGCTAAGTTGCCAATTGGGTCACTTATTGCATTTTCGCAATTGGTCCCCCAGGACCAATTCATGTGGAAAATAACACACCTACGAGACATTTAATTTTGTTTTGAATATAATATTTTGTCTATAAAATTAAATATTGAATTGTAAGAAGGTTGATATTATATGTAATGTGGATGAATATAGTGATTTTTAAAAATTTTGACATTGTATTAGGGATATTAGAGTGGGAAGAATATATAAAATTTGGGTGGATATGTCGTTTTTAAATGAATGAATTCTATAGCGTTCTGCCCTTACTTTAAAAATTCATTGTAGATTGTATATTTTGAATTTCGGGATGATTCTATTTGAAAAAACACATTTTATGAGTTATCAATAGTTTAGAAATAAAATCATGTCATCTGGATGCTCGTAGAATTTATCATAATATTTTTATTTTTTTTGTAAATTGCATCTAACTGAAATTAAAAATAAAGTCCAAGCGTCTTCGAAAATATTTTAGTGTTTGGGATCTTTATTTTTTATAGGGAAAATTGCAACCACGATACCAAACCTTTCACTTTTTTGCAAACTTTGCCCAAACCTTTGTTTTGTACCACCCAAGGTACTAATCCTTTAAATAATTCGCACCCGAAGTTCAAATTAACAGAAATCGTTAGTTTGACCGTTAGTTGATCAATAATTAAATGCTTGACCACTTGCTGACCAATTTTTTAAAGGTTAAATATGTAATTTTACATTTTTCATATGAAAAAAATTAAAATAAAAGAATGAAATTAAAAAAGAAAAAATCCCAAACTATTGTTCATCTTCTTCCAACCACCCCTAATAATCTCCTTCTACACCCTTCCCTACCGCCCTTAGAGAGAAATAGGTGGGGGGAGGGGGGGCTTTGATGAAGAAGAAAACGAAAATGGTGCCGGATCCACTCAAATAAACATAAAACAGAAACAAATCAGCAGTCAAGTAAAACAACACATCTCTTATAAATGGTACAGGATCTACTGCGAATGGTACGACATAAATCGCAACAAAACCCACAACAAAATGTAGACACAAAAGTCCCGGCTGAAAGAATTGCGCCAAATCCAGTTCTGGGTTAGCCCCCTCAGACAGCGGCCACAGATACAAACACATAGGGGGCCCCATTTCCCAAAGCCAAATGGGTAACATCACCCATTGAAGGGGAGAGTTTCAAATGGGTAGAATGTAAGTGTTATACCCTACATCCAATCAACTTTGGATATAAACACTTTAAATATATGTAATTGATGCATGCATGACAATATCTTTTATTTAATTGACTTAATATTCTAACAAAATACAGAATAGAATCCGTAGATTCAAGTCTTGGTGATTCGTTAA